ATAGTTTATGTATATAGCATATGTATACATACATACATATATTTATATAGAGAATAATATTTCTGAAAGAATAACTCATGCTGTATTCTTCTTCACCCTCCCACTCACAATTAAGAGCTCAGTCAAATGATTACTCTGGCTAAGGGTGGAATGTTACGTATTTTTTTCTTGTTACATATGTATGAGCGAATTGTGTATATTCCTAATTTCATCAGAGATTTGCTATATTCTTTTGAGATTGTTACTTAAGGATGGAGATTCATGGCTTCCAAGTCTTAATCATAACAAATCTACATTAAACTTTTGATAAGTGTTTTTAATAGTGCATGAATACGTGTAACAAAGTAAATGAAGACTGTTCTTAGTTGATTGTCTTCATGGCTTTTAAGTTAACATAGGACAATTTTTGTATTTGAAATTCTTTGTGATCCACTCTTTGAATGAAAAAAGTTGTTTGTGAAGTGGCTTGAAAACAAAGTAATTCTAAAGCCTACAGAGTCTGGAAATACACTGTAGTACAGTACCTAAATTAAGAAGTAAGTTCACATTGTCACTCAGGGGAAACAGACTGTTTAAGACCTTCTTTTATTTCTCATGTGGCAATGTTCCCTCTCTTTTTTGCCCTGGCTGATACGGAATTTTAAATTCTTTAAAAGTCAACCTCTGATCTGTAGGAAGAAAAGTACTTTTTTAGAAATTCAGCTTCTCAATCTCTACTTGAAATTTGGTGGCTTCAGTGAGTTTGCCATCAGCATGGCTGTTCTGACTGAAATGGAAGATAAGATTAAAGTCCCCATTAATTCTCTGAAGCTGGTAATGTTTTTCACACTAAGAAAGGCTTCTACAAAAGCAGTATGTAAAGATTTAGGGCCAAGTTGTGGAATAGGATGTAACTTAAAGTAGTCTCCAACACTGACCAGCAACACTGCTCTTCACTCTCTTCTTCTTCTCCCAGTTCAGCCCCTTGGGCTTTCTGCTGTGCCCCTTTACCATGCCCAGCCTCGATATCGCCTTGGACTTGTTTCCTGGTGTTGGACCACAGTCACATCCAAGCATTTACACATGAGGCTGAGGTTTCAAAGGTGGTGGGAAATGTCAGTGTTCAGAACACAGGTGAGAAGAAATAAAAATAAAGTAGGAACTTTTTTCACTAAAATTTCCTGAATCCAGGTTGTTATAAACTAGTGGGCAAACTTGATTATGGAGATTGAGTGTCTCTGCCCTCTGTCTTGTATCATTCCTTATCTGCACTGCCAAAGCTACATGTCTTGATGACAGGCATGCTATATTTTGCATAAGAAATGCAAAAAACCTATGTGTATGAAATTATCTATAATTGATCAGATACAAATTTAGTCTTCTACTGAGAGTTTTTATTTGTTTCACAGATCTAATTAAATGCAACTGAAGGATGAACATAAAAACTGTTTGAGGGAACAAATTCATAATGGTGGTACTATATGAGTGGAAAAAGTCTAGTTGTGCTACATGTCAGTAACAAACTAACAGGAAGAAAACTTTAAAACCCAGTAAATGCAAAACCTGCAGTGGAATTAACAGAATGTATCTTTATAGAAATATATTGATATATAAACAATTTTTTAACTTTATACAAACAATTATTTTTTAAGCAACTCATTAGATGATTATGTTTCACTCATTCTTCCTGTGCTGTTCCAGTGAGAGAAGACCAAGTGTTTTTTATGAATGCAAGATGTTTTTTAATAAAGCTACTAATGTCAGTGTGAACCATAACCTAAAAGGGGTTACACAGCAATGTATTTCTGAGTACCTTGTCCCATGAAGGGAAGGAGCACTAAATAACTCTTTATGTGCTGAATGCCACTCTAGGATTAAGTCCATGGAGAGTAAACTCTCTGAAGACAGCAGCAACTCCTTCTAATTTGTAAAGTGCTGGGAGTTCTTATGGCATTATCAGCCCTCAAACTTTAGGTTAAACTTGTGGGACAACTTCACAAAATTTGTTTGAACCAGCCCCCTGCCTTTGCTTTTGAATATAAACTGTTGTAAATTGAAAGGACTGGGCCACCAAGATAAACAGAGGGATGGAGCACTTCTCTTATGAGGAAAGACTAGGAGAATTGCGATTGTTTGGCCTGGATAAGAGGAAGCTTTGGGGTGACCTAATTGTGGCCTTCCAGTACCTGAAGACAGTCTACAAGAAAGATAGAGACTATTTACAAGGGACAAGACAAGGGAGAATGGCTTCAAACTGAAAGAGAGTAGGTTTAGGTTAGATACTAGGAAGAAATTCTTCACTGTGACGGTGGTGAGGCACTGGAACAGGTTTTCCAGGAAAGTTGTGGATGCCCCATCCCTGGAAGTGTTCAAGACCAGGTTGGATGGGGGTCTGAGCAACATGGTCTATTGAAAGGTGTCCCTGCCCATGGCAGGGGTTTGGAACCAGGTGATCTTTAAGATCCTTTCCAACCCAAGCCATTATATGATTCTATGAGGATTCTACGATTCTTGGCGGAGTATGCATTGAAAACCTGTATTTTGAAGACTAAAACTTCAGCTGTAGTGTTTGTAATATGAACTTTTGGTGCTTCGTGATTGCTTTGGGTTTGGATTAGTGTAAAGAATTCATTATTTTAATATTTTTTTAATCCTCTAAGAGTGTTAATGATTTAAAATCTATTCTATCCTGGAATTAGAGTACTTAGCTCTTTGAACAATTGGGTTCTCAAGACAAACGTGAAAATAATGACCAGTTTTCTAGATTTAAGCCTTGAGTGCTAGATAACCTGTAATGAGATGACCCCTTGCTTGTGTGACAAGAGTCTTGGTTAAACTAAAGTGATACCAAATTATCATAATGTAAGTAAAGTGTAAAAAAATAGTGGGCAGGGAAGTTTCCATGTGCTTTCCAGAGACTTATCTTACAGATTTCCTGTCTCTATTTACAATTCTTTTCCCATTCATTTTAGAAGGAAAGATTGTTACTCTTTTTCTTTTCTTTCTTTTTCTTTTTTTTTTTTTCAAATAAAGTTGACAATAATGAAGCAAATAGTGTTGAATCAGTCTGGACTGTTTGCTGGAGGGAGAGAGCTGGCAGTGAGGATAGTCAGGTAGTGAAATACTATCTCTGGGCTTATTGGTACACTTAATTCAGTTCCACTTTCATTTCAGATACTTCCTATATGGTTCTTGGGGCAGTTTGAGCCACATTAGAAATCCAGAATCCAATTTCCAAGCTTCCCCCACCCCTTCTACAATTTATCCCAACACCGAAGAGAAACTTTCAAACCAGAGGCTTCTGTAGGGGAAGGGGGAAGTATATACCTTTATTTACACAAATAAATACTATAAAAACTAAAGGCAACTATATATATATATATTACGTTACACCTCTATCAGTCCTTTAAGCCCCTCCCTTCAACTTTAGTCTAGGAGAAGCCCTTCAAGGCTGCTGGGTAACACAGTCTCCCTCTCGTGGGAGTGTTCTGGGCCCCTGAACACTCCCTAACCAACCTTCAGCTGTTTGCTGCAGTTTTTCTCCTCACGAAGTCCAAAAAAGTAGCTTTGAGTCCTTTCTTCTCGGTCTGTGTCATTTCTGCTGTGTGATCTCTCCCTCGGTCTCATACCTCGATTCGTAGGCTGCTGTAATGTAGCTTATCAACATACGCATCCTGGAATGTTGATTCCTCCAAGTCAGTTTTCGGCTGCCCCCGGTCAGCTTCAGCAGGGCAACTCTCGAGCTCTTGGTCCGTCTCCAGTTTCGCCTGGAATTCTTCTCCTGAGCACCGAGCCTTCTCCTCCGGCCCATCTCTTGGCTCAGCTTAAATGCTGAGCCTTGCATCCACTCCCACTAAACAGCGAGAGGGAAAAAACAGCCCCCTTCTGCAGCCTGGCTGCAAAGGGTGGGGGGAAGAAGAGGGCTTAGCTGCAAGGCCTGCCTCTCTCTCTCTCCCACTTACCGGTCGTTTGTGAGTTGCGTCCCTCACAAACACTCACTTCAATGCTGCCTCCAGCTCTGGCCTAGGCAGAGTTGGTGGGGCTGCAGGTCTTCCCTCTCCCCCCACCCCCAGAGGGGGAAAAGAAGGAGCCCAGCCACCCCCTGGCCTTTTCTACCCACACACAGCAGACACCAACAGAACTATGAGGCTTAATCTCAGGATCTCAATGTCTCAGGCAGTGCAATCCTGCCTGAATCTAACACTCATAAAACTGTGTTTTCAAATATGTGGAGACACACCATCTATAACGCCACTACTTCTTTTGAGAACGCACGCAGGGTCACTCTTGAGGAGAAAAGACAACACAGAAAGAATCGTGTCTTACCGATTGTACCACCTAAGGAGTCTTTCTGCTGTGCCTTTTGCAACCGGTCGTGCCTATCTCGTATTGGCCTTTTTAGCCACCAGTGCGCTTGTAACAAACATTGGGTAGAGCCCTTCCCAAATCTTCCTGTGCAGTTCCAGCCATGATGATGATTCCTGTGATATTATTGCAAATGTAGAAGCCAAGAGGAGGGAAGAAGAGAATGTAAAAATTTGTAATAGTTAATAGGAGTGGTAATTGAGATTATAGAATTTTCCAAAATATCTTGTAGGCATGGACCATGAATTGCTAATGTTCTATGTATATACAAGGTTCAAAATGGTATGTTTGGAGTACTTTTATGCCAAGTGCTTGAAAAAATTTTGCTAGATACATGTTAAATTTTTGTAAACAATTCAAAACATCTTTGGTTCTGATAGACATTAGACTTAGTGATTAAAGTGCTGGAAAATATTCCTGATATATTGCTTTATCAAGGTTTCATTGATTACTTTTGTGTGTTTTTTCCCTCTTCACAGGAGAGAGAACCAACAACTTCTGAGTTGTTGGAAAAAGAAATTGGTAGCTGAGAAAGGGACATTTTAAGTAAAATTTGGGGAAAATGAGTGGGAGCTAGTAACTTAGAGTATCTGCAAGTATGTGTTTGTCATGAAAACTTTCAATAATTATTTTAATTTTGTTTCTGTGCGTGGAAGGTATCCTGAATTAGCAACCGTGTGCAGGAATCCCAATACTCTAATTTTATATCCTGGAGCTGAAGCAACCAATTTGGAAGACGTTGCAGTGATGTCTCCTAGTTCATCTGTTATGATCATCATTGATGGAACATGGAGCCAGGCTAAAGATATATTTTACAAAAATTCCCTCTTCCGTCTTCCCAAGCAGGTGAGTTCAAAAATGTAAAATAAAAAAATTAATTTTGTCTGGTAGATTCTTGCTTTGATCAGCCAGAAGAGAGTGGTTTTTTGAGGCTGTAACCAGCTGACAACAGAATGACAACTTCAACAATTATATAAAGCAATCTGTAAGACTGTAAGAAAGATGATTGTAAATATTGAGGGTTTTCACTTCCCCACTTGAAATTTGTTCTGAGTCAGTGTATCTTACTTCATAGGGAATCATTGTTTTAAAAATTGAAAACTGATTTGTGTAGAAAATTGTAGCATGTTGTCTAAGATGTTAGAACATACAGATTGAAATAACATTTCTTGATTGAAATAAGCATTTCTTTTCCTCTGCATAAGTATTTTGCATTGCAGTAATAGGAAACCTGAAAGAAGAATTTTGTAGCTTCTTACAAAAATGTCACGCTCTTCCCCAATGTGTGGTCTTCACCATACTAAAAACTTTCTCTCTTGGCAAATGGTTGGCAAATACTGCCCTCTGGGTTGTATGAACAATAATTTTGTGTCTATTTCTTAAGTATTTCCATAAGACTAGGATTGCTTGTCTTTATGCTATGGTATTTTCTTTGACACGGGAACTCCTGGACCATAACTGCAGAACTATAGAATGGCCCAGGTTGGAAGCAATGTCAGAGGATCATCTGCTCCACCCTTTTGTGGGAAGGGAAGCCTGAATGAGATTGTGCACCACTTTGTCCAATGATGGGTACTCCATCACTGCTCTGAGGAGGTTGTTCCAGCATTTGATTGTTCTCAATGTAAAAAAATAATTTATATTTAGATGAAACTCCTACCAGTGCAACTTGTGCCAGCTGCCACTTGTCCTTTCCATGAGGTTCCTTGTGAAGTGAGAATCTACTCTTTGTAGATACCCTTAAAGTACTGTAATACTGAGCCTTCTCTTCACCATGGAGAAAACACAAGAAGTATTGCAGAGCTAGATGAGATAGTAGTCAAATATTGAAGGTGATAACTGTCAAGTTTGAAGAGACTCCAATGTTTAATTCCATTTTCAAGTGTTGACACTTGGAGTCCTAAAATTATAACTGTGTTGCACTTGAGAGGGCTGTTTTCCTGATTATGGATATGTCTTCGAGGCAGTTTTGAAGCAATTGGTTTAAAGTAGTCTCTTACTTAAATCTCAGTATCAATCTTAGCACAACAGTTATGGTAACAGCATGTGCTGTGTATTTGTATGTGTTGTTATGATCCTGGTAAAAAGGTTACTTAAACCAATGCTGTTAAGTACATGAGCTACATAAATGCTCATGTGGTCTGAGCATTTGCTGAAAGTCGAAGGGATGTGGTCTAAAACCATTAGTATTTTGGCATTTTACCTACCTAAAATATCTTTAGGCCTTGTAGTGGAGTATAAAATGTAATTAGTATCTCTGAGGCTGTTAAAATGTTTATTTTATTAAAATAATGGACAGCAAAATTATGGATCATTTTACATACAAATGATGCTTTTAAAATTATGAAATCCTGCCTAATGCAAGATGAAACTGAAAAAGACTTTGAAGTGATAGAACAAGTAAAAATAATGTAATGGAAGTAAAGTAAGACACTACTCCAAAAACTCTTGGGAAAGTGAACAGTAGTATTAACTATGGTGCATGAAACCTTGTTTAATACAGCTATAAAATATATAAATAATAAGTACTTTAAAAATCTCATAAACTCCAGTTTATTACTTTACTTTAGATTTACTTTACTATTACAGGAGATTTCATCAAGATATTCAAATGTATTTGTCTTCTACGGCAAATGAAAAAGCATTTCCTGTTTACAAACAAATATATTCCTACCATGGGAGTTTATTACACCAGAAAGATTAGGTAGGAATTACATCTACATAGGATTTTATAGACACTTAATTTGCCCATAACTGTTTTTGTATCCTGTTTTGTACAAAATTTCATGGCTATAGGAGCAAACAAGGTGTAGCAATGTTAATCTATAAACCTCTGTACATGAACATGGATAAAACCATGTAAATACCTGTCAGCCCTGAGAATCTGTCTTGCAGATGGAAATTGTTAACAGAGTATTGTGTGCCTTCCCTCCCTGCAGTGTAAACCTCTGTAGAGGGTTTAAGACTTTGCAAAAGTGAAATATCAGATATAGTTTGGCACTGGGTGAGTCACAGACTTGCTTTCTGAAAAAGTTCAGAGGCATTGGTTTATGAAACAAGTGATGCGAAGGGTCATATTTAAAGCTCTTGGGGAAAACATGAGCAGAGAGCAGGAATATCAGAAACATTGTTAGGAGATTTGCTTCTTTGTGTGTACTTGAATTCTGTATTTCAGTTGCAGTTATTAATTAACACAGTACTTTTTATCTGGTCCTTTTTTTTTTTAAGAAAAAAAGTATTTGACTCTCCTTACCCTTCTTTTTTATTGGAATCGCATTGCAACTCTTGTTTTAAGGGGTTTAAAGTCTTAGTTAAAATGAAAAGTACAGTGACTCTTGAAGTATTAGGTTAACACAAGTATTAATTTTTTAAAAATATGATGGATGGGTTTCTTATTACTAAATCTACGACAGCTAAAATCAATATTTGGTTTGATTTTTATTTTTATATGCTAGTTGGTACTTGCTATGATTCAAATCACATGGAGCTGTTTCAATGACAATGTTCCCATATGCAGAAATAACTTCCTGCAGGAAAAAAAATGTTTTTCATATGATGAAGTGTGACCTGACTGGCTTTAGTCTCTTAGATCAAGTTTAAAAATTATACTTAGTGGTTTGACTGTTATTTCAGCTTTATTTCTGCTGTCCTGCGCTAAGTCCGAACTTGTGCTGCAGGCACCTGGGAGACAGGTGGTGCTCAGCAGAGGCACCAGCTGAGCGTGGAGCAATGCAAAGACTACATTTAAGCGCTGCATGCACAACTGTGTATTACACTAAGTTTGGTTATTTTGTGCTGAAATAAACTAGAGGTACTTGTGCAATCCACTATAACTTCTAAGTAGTTAAAATTAGCAGTCGGGTGTTAAAAGGTTATAATAAAACTGCCTTCAAGCAAACACCAGCACACTTACAGACTGAATTTTGTTCACCCTGTTTCACCTTTCTAATTGAGCTAAACACCATGGCCAATACTGTAGGGTTTTACTGGCTTTTTATAATTTATTGTTTTCTACATTATAGTTCATATTTAAATATTTTGTAAATGGTTCTCTGTTTCAATGGAGTTTTTGTTGATCATATCTTGAAACTTTGGATTTGATAATGCAGTTTTGTGATATGAAAATGAGTAGAGTATCATTATATTTGAAATATAAGAAGGCAGGCTTTGGTCCCAGAAAGAAGATAAGAAGGACATACCAATAGCTAAATGAAGGGGATATTCAAGGAGAGGAGGATTGATTCCTGCAGGCATTATCTGTGATTTAAAAAGAAACTAAAATTATTCAATAAATAGTGATTGGAGCTTTTAATCAATATTCTGGAGGTAGGAAAGAGCTATTTTAGTAATGAAGAGATTAGCAATTCTTAATTGCAAGATATACTACAAAGACACAATAGATTGGAAGCATTGAAAGAAACATTTAATTTTGTTCCTTCACAGCTTTGCTGATTTTGCTATGTTGAATGATTTTAAAGATACTGTAGGATATTTTAATAAACTTTGTTTCAAATTAGTATTAAAATCTCTAGATCTTCGATAAAAACTCTTTTAATTAATAGCTAGAGCAGAACATTCTCCTTTGAAAAAAATATTTGAAGATATTTCAATTGAGCTCTTCCAGAAAGCCCCAGAGGAAATATATTTATGAACCTAAAATATTTAACAGAGGTGATACAGAGAAAGTATTCAGTTAACTGGGAGGAGTTGACGCAATTAGTTTGAGGGAATGAGTGCCTGGTTTGCACAGCAGGCATTGTTAGCACTGTTGGTGTGGTGGTGTATGGTATGAAGCAATCACAGACTGCTGTGGGTGAAGCTGCTTCTGGTTATGAGGAGATAAGCAGAGCATTGTGGGAACAGATGGCTAAAAAGCTCAGTTTGTCCTTTTACTCCTTCAGCACCAAAAGAAAGATTGAAAAAATTGACTTACTGGCAGCCACACTAGACTTGCTAGTCTGGAGTGGAAGAGGATTGCTGGGACATCATAGAACCATGAAATCATTAAAGTTGCAAATGAACTCCAAGATCATCAAGTCCAATCTTCGACTGAATACCACTGTGCCTACTAAAACATATCATGAAGTGCCATAATCTCCCTATTTTTTGGACGCTTCCAGGGATGATGACCCCGTCACCTTCTCCATTCTTTCAGTGGATAACTTTTTCCTAATATCTAGCCTGAATGTCCCTTGATGCAACTTGAGGCTGTTTCCCCTTGTCCAATCACTAGTTGCCTGGGAGAAGAGGCTTTACAAGTTGTCCAGCTGTGTCTGGGTGGGTTCATAGTGTTCTGGGTGAAGAGCCAGCTGGATGGCAGGACTCAGAGGGTTCCAGTGAATGGCCATGTCTGGCCAGTGAACCATCACCAGCAGTGCCCTCAGGGCTCCATCCTCACCCCTGTGCTGTTCAGTATTTTGATCCATGATCTGGATTCAGGAGTTGAACGCCACATTAGCAAATTTTCTGATGATACCAAAGTGGAAGGTGTTGTTGACTCTCTTGAAGGACAACAGGCTTTGCAGAGGGATCTGGATAGATTAGAGCACTAGGCCCACATCAGTGCATGAAATTGAACCAGTGCAGCTAGGAGGGAATAACTCCTGGCACAGGTCTCAACTGGAAGAGGAGTGGCTGCAGAGCAGCCCTGCAGAAAGCGACATGGGTATGCTGGTCAGCAGCAGGCTCAAGGAAAGTCAGCGGTGTTCCCAGGCAACTGAGAGGGCAAACTGCATCCTGGGCACATCAAACATAGTGTGGCCAGCAGGTCAAGAGAGGGCATTGTCCCAGTATGTTCAGCGTAGATGCAGCCTCATCTGGAGCTTTGCTCAGTACTGGGCCCCACC